TATTTTATCCCAAAAACAGCAAATAGAGGGATGAAAATGGGAGTAGAAGTTTGTATAGGGGATGAAAACTTTACCATAGTAACGATTGTTAACTATTCAATTAATCATTGTAACTATATCCGTGACATCGTGTCATAATACGAATCGATACCCAAATGATCAGTTGCTTAGGGACAACGCCGGCGAAGCCGCTGATGGAAAACTTGTATATAATATATTAAGCGTTACCTATTATATAAAATATATCAAACTCACTAAAAAGCATTAAAAATACTTTGAAAAATAGAACCGACTATAATTTAATTCATAAACTCACAAAAGACCTACAAAAGAACGATATCAATAGCATTTTTTTGAGAATGTCGCTTTTGAGTTATGCATTATTTATCACTTTTTTAAAGTTTGAAGTACGTTCTATTTTTTTTAAAGGATTTTTTAAACAAGCTTTTATTACATATCAAATTAGTTTTAAAAAGACAAATAAAAGTAGACCAAAATCAACCAGGTTGTGTTATTAAATTAGAAAAGTAATCCATGACTACCTTCCATCATCAGACGTTGAATATTAACGCAGTAAATTTCTTTTAAAGACAAATCAAACGAACTTTACCCCCCTTATGAAATTGCTTCCATTAATTACAGAGGTCCTATTCCTGCTGTGGTTTCAACATCAAATCAAAAATTTATCTTAATTCGAATTTTCGAAATGAGTCACATTTAACTTGATTTAATCCTCATTAAATACGAAAAGTTAACTAAAAGTTAAGCGTGTATAAACTAATTACATAAAGTATGTACACATCTCGACACGATGAATCTATCCATTTGCTAAAATCTTATAGCATGCTACACTTTTGTTGGTTTGCACTATATTTAGCATAGTTACGCATAATTTTTTGCATATTTTCCCTAAGCATAACATCCTAAAGCATAAATTAAAATAAAATAAAAACACTTGCCGGTTGCTTGTTGCTTGCTCACTTGGCTTGTTTTTTATTTTAGTCACAGTTTCAATCTAAACTGACTTCTTGTCTCGTAATATTATGAGGATTAAAATTACTAAATAGAAAATCTCACTGTCAGTGTATTTACAGTAAAATTTAATAAGAATTAGTAAAGTGTAAATTTTTAAACAAATCATGTATGAGTTAACTTCGATTGTTTTTAAAATGCTATTTTATTTGATTTTAGCACTCTTAACTACATTACAATGTTATTTTAACTCCGTTTTATCGAATCCTGCAATTAAATGGTTCGTGGTACGATGGAATCGGTTCCAGAATACCAATGTTGCGAGTAGGCAACTCAATGTATATTGTGGAATTCCCAACACGATATAAAAATTCATCTGCTGACTGTACGTGGTATGATTGAAAATGAATCTAGCCTTAATAGAATTGACATTCTAATTTTAACTTAAACTTATTTAAATAATTATTTAGAGCTATAATTTTAAAAACATACGTAACTTGACTTTGACTCTTAAAAAGATACATATCACGAATTAATCAAATAAAACAGCTTTTTTTGTAAAAGTAAAAATGACCAAATGCAAGAAATTGTGCGAAAAACACAAGCAATGCGTGCATCTTCTTTTTCTCTCAAATTAAAGATTAGAATGAAATGAATAGTTTACTGAACCATAATATGCTTTAACTTTGTATTTTAACTATAACTAGGCTCCTGTGCAGTGCAAAAACCTAGCAGTGGTTTTGCCCACGTGGAAACTTTTAATAGGATGAAAGCCTATTTGTTAATTCATGCTTAGAATTATCTGTATACCCAAATTCATTATTATTGGGTCAGTAGTTTTGCGTAAAAGAGTAACAACATAAATACGTCCTCACAAACTTTCGCATTTATAATATTAGTTGGATCATCACCCAACTTTCAGAGTTTCTTGAATTTGTACAAGCTCCTTGTTATTTACTTTTGTGAAGTGAACTTACTGGCTGATTACATGAGGGACGATGCATGGGTAAAAAAAGGAATTCTATTTAGTACGTCAGTCAGATAATAGAAAAATGTTAGATACGTATTTTTTGTTTCAAATTTAAAAGAAATGGCTTAGCTATTATCTATTTAAGTTGAGGAGTGGGGGCTCGTTTCGTCACAGCGATGTAGAAAATATACAAATGCGTGACGGCATGCAACATTTTATCGCCGTTATTTATTGAATACACAAAAAATAAGAAATACGCATTTAACATTCTTAAATTATCTACCGGACGGACACAATTAAAACTTGAATGAAGCCATTTTCATTTAATTTCATATCATTTACCATCATCACTATTCTTGAAGTTCACGAAAAAGGTTTAGATAGGTTTAACAAAACAAATAGGTTGATTAAAAAAGAGAACAAATAGCGTAACTGTTATATATCGTATGAGGATCTCTCGTATAACTTCCACTCTCTTCATATTCGATTCCAGTCCATCCATGGAGAAGGCCTATGCTATAATTGGGGGGTTAATAGGCTGGTGATAATGCTTAACATTAAAGCATTAAATCTTTGCTTTATATAAATATTTCTCTAGTACTGTGAATGCACTGTAGATTAAGTGTGTTCATAACCATTTATAGTTTGTTTAAAACGAAAACAACAACCTTTCTGATACAAAATATTTATGAAAATTCAATGAAAATAATATTGTTTACGTATTCCGAAACATTGTTTGCCCTTTTTTTATATTTTGGCTCAATCTAGGATTTTATTTGGCAAAAGTATTACCAGCGGGGTTCAGATATAACTTTTGTATTACTACTTTATTGCATAAGAAAGCGTTTCAATTCGTTATTTTACTGTCTAATATTAGAGACGTAAAAGCCTGTATGTTTAGTTACTATTTAGGGTTCCATCGGGCCCAAAGGTTATATCGTTTTTCTGTGTCTATCTGTCTCATAAAACGCGACAGTTAGACAGTTGAAATTTTCGCAGATGATGTATTCCATTATTCCGAACAATTCCGAAATTGACGTACATAACAATATTGGTAGAAGAAAAGTTCCTAATCAATAATGTATTAAAAAGTTAATACGAATAGGAATAATATTAACAATAAAGACAATATTCTTTTCAACTGAATAGTGGATTTCCAAGTATTTTATGATTTTTAAGTAATAAAATAGGGTCGAAAAGGAAGGCTCCCGTCGTATGGTTCCCGTGTGACCTTACAGTACGCCAGCTAATGCTGTTTTTAGTAGTACCTACCTTTTTTCAGAACGCAGGGGAAATGAACATTAAGCTTCAAACCAAGGCTTTACAACCACCCCGACCTAAAAAGGACAGACAGTGTGTGACTTGCCTAATTGATACATACCACTGCTGTCCACCTCACACGGATAGACGAATCCGGTATCCTGAAATACTAAATATAGTTAAATCCCTTATTTCCGTACTGTTTAGCAATTTCCTAATATATGTTATATGGATCGTATTAAAATAACTAGCGTTTTTGTCCCGCTTATCGCTGCGCTTGTCAATAAGGTAGAGGTCATGGGAGATTTGGCAAGTGACGATTTTTTTTTCATCAAATATAAAGTGAAAGGCACCCTTAATGGCCGCTGGCTTGATTAAAGTGGATCACTGGTATCTTTAATTCTAAAACCCGGATAATACAGATTGCTCTTGCCCTGTCGCCATTGTCTCTAAAACTGTAACAATTCTGTCTTTCGAGAAATTTGAAAATTATTAAGGTTTATGTCTTTTTTTATTTGGTTCGCTGTAACAAGCTTTTGTGGGAAAAGTTAATAATGTCAGTGTAACCAGTGAGGGTCGCGTCCATTCCAATATGTCTGTCTGGCTTTGATGCTTTTGTTTCACGTTACTCCCTTATTTTATCCTGTTACTGATTGAGCGGAAAAATAACATGGTATAATCTTATTATAATTGAAAATGTTGTAGTATTTCTGTTAAATATTATTAAATTCGACCAAAACTATTTTGCTCGTTTTGTCTGCGATACGGTTGTAACTTTCGCGATGGTAAAAAAATATTATCTCGAGTTCCTCCGGCTGCATTAGCAGTTGTTAACACCCACCAGCAGCTGAGCACCTGAGCCCAAGTGGTGGATCAGGCTCGTTGTCCCTATAAGATTAAAATCCTTCCCGGATTTTGTCATCTCTTGTGTCCTAGAAGTGACGATATTATTAGGCCGATGTTCTTTGTTTGTTTATTTAATATATTTTTATTAAACACATTTAACATAAGTAAGAACCTGATAAAATATCTTAAATATAATATTTATTTATGTATCTAGCCTTTCATCATTTATCAAAATAAAAAATCACACAAGAGTTATTTCATAATTCAAAGGATGGAAAACGGGAATAAGGACATTCAAATATACTTTAAAGGTTTCTTGTATGAAGACTCGCTGTCGGATTAAAATTGTTCGCTTTTTGTTCAGACAGACAATAGAAGCATTAATATGGGCTCGTTGGTATCTTTTTATACGGAAAGAATATTTAATAGAACCTATCAAGAATAACATTAAGGAAAATCATTGCACTAATTCGATGACGAACTCTGTGGCCGAATGGCTCGTGTGCCGGTTTCAAAGTTTTGCCATCTCTGAGGTTCCTGGTTCGATTTCCGATCGGGTCATTGTAAAAATGGATTTTCCTATATTTTATCTACTCTCAGGGATTAATTTATTTTTATGTGTGAAATTACCCACAAATGGTGTTACAAAGCCAAATAATCACAACATCTATATATATTTGATCATGATACCATGAACCCATGACCTTTCAAAATCGCCCGGACTGCGAAAAATCATGAGTTCGAGTCCCATCTCAGAGTGATAGGGATATAGTGGTTTTTTTAAGCATTTTTTATTAAGAAAATGTATATTACTAATATTTATCAATAAAAAATTTCTCCTTCTGCAGGATGTACAGACAACACGAATGGTCTAGGCACAGATGGTGTGCCAGAGATAGACTACACAGATGTGGACTTAGGGCTGGCGCAGCGGGGTCCGCACTTCGATATCGCTTATTCGAAGAACGTCACCGCTCTGGTCGGGAAGACCGCGCAGCTCAATTGCAGGGTTCACGATCTAGGAAATAGAACAGTGAGTAAATAAATAGATATAGTAAATATAGATGTAGGACCAGGGAGATCGTAAGGTCCTAATTGGTAGGTGCAAGTGGTAAAGGAGAAAAGAAAATTGTCTCTCATCGAGCTGAGTGTTATTACTTCCAAAATTCATCAATAGGACCGCAGTGGTCTCATCGGTGAAGTTTGAGAGTTATACTTAACCATTTTTTTTTTCGGCTCTCAGCCTTAAAAAGGAGAGAGGAGGGGAAAGGCTTGCCCAGAGACAACGAACCTTCGACCGGAGCGACCCCCCCCCCCACAAGGTCTGATGTCTGCGCCGCCCCCCTTTTTACCTACATGAATTGTGCCATCGAGATGTGTACTTAACCACCGCAATTTCATATTTTATATGAAATGTGGTGAAATTTAGTAAGCGCGATGCATGTATCAGGTCGACTATTTGATGTAACTCGAAGCTTTCGTCTTCCATTCAATTATTGTAGCGATGCTATTGCGGTGAGATATATGTCACCACATAAATAGAAAATTTTATAAACTCGCTATTTGCCATTCGTCTCTCGAAAGCGAAAAATAATAAAACAATATTTCAACCTATTCAGTTTCTTTTAAAATTAGTGTGATAAAACCAAAATAAATCCATCATTTATAGCTTGATCTATAAACGTCACCTTTCATAGAAAAAGAATCAGGATAAGCCTAAATAAAAATAAACATCTGTTGTAGATTAAAGAAAATATAAAAAGTAGAGAACAAATAAAAAGACAAAAAAAAGTCACCCTTCACAACTTTCACAACTTACGAGTATTGTAAACATCAACAGTAAGGACACAGACAATCGAAACGCAGCGCAGATATTTCACTGCTAAAGCGATGTCGTCTTTGTAGTTCTTGAAACAAGATTGGAAATGAATTGACAATAAACGTATTATTATTGTTATTATTAATACGATCATTTCTCATACCATAACAGCCCGCAACAGTCCACTGCAGGACTAAGGGCCTTATCCACGTTAGTGAAGGGTTTTGCCATAATCTCCACGCTTGGAAGGCGGGTGGAGATCGCAGTTTCAAAAATATGATTTAACAGAGCGTTGCTGCCTATTCTCTGCTAATCCCTTTTTTAAGTAATCCCTTTGTCGGCTCTTACGACGTCCACGGAATGAGTAGGGGTGGTGACAATTGTATTCTATTCTGCCGTCACTACACGTTATATAGGATCATTATTGGAAATATATTCTATTAACTAGCTTTCGCCTATCTGTATAACAAATTTCATTAAATTTGGTATACATAAACAAATATTCGTGTTGCGCCTCGGTAGCACCGTTGGGGTGATAAACCCGTATAATTATAATGCCAGAGTTGCTACAGCACAGGCCTTCCCTATAAAAAGAACAAGGGTTAACGGTCCATAATCCACCAAGCGTCTGCAAATGCGACCGAAAATGACAGCTTATCTTGCCTCCCGGAACATGGAGCCTAATTTAATATTTTTCATCTAAGTTGCTTTACCTCCTTAAAAATAGTCTAACATAATCAACAATTCTACAATACCCTCAACAATATCGATACAGAACTACAGTCGTAATTGGGCCGGCCCTACGGTACAAGGGTACTACACTCGCAAATTGGGTTCTCAATTATTGGTTTCCATTGAAGAGGTCCGTTCAAATTGTAATAAGCTTTGTTAACGTTAAAATTACTTTGGGCTGTTTTTACTCGTTTGAGGTTTTGTTGGGTTTCCAAGAAATTCGGTTCGTTTAAGTAATCTGAGATAAAACAAATTTTCATTAATCGATCAATCTGTTTTAGTAATAAATTGTTTGTTATCAATTAACGACCCTATAATAATTACAATACAAGAATTGTTTTTTAATAATGTTATTTTTCAGACACTCCATAATACGAGGACTGTAAATCTGAGCAATTGTACATACATACTTTACATCTAAAGGTTAAATTAGCATTTAGATAATTGTTACTTTAACACGCTAATCGTTGATAATGCGCATAAGCTCCCGCGACCGAGCGTGGGCTTGAACGCTAACGCACGCGTGAACGATTTATTTTCGCAGTACGTTGAATAGAATCACATGCCAATCTTGCAGTTAATATATAGGTGCGAATGTTAATGGACACGTTAACGATTTATCTTAAATATGATAGTGTATTATTGAAATATTTTAGTTTGTTGATATTTTAAATTTTTTATATTAAAGGACATTTATGTGAGTAAAATCAAACTTACAAAAATTATATTTACATATATTAGAATAAAATATTAATAAATTATTGTTAAATACATAGCACGCACTCAGGTCAAAGATCGACATATAATAAATAACGTGCAAAGAGATTTACGATCTGTCGCACAAACGCCAATTAAGGTTTAATGACGTTTTTAAACTATAATAAATGTAAAAATTTTATCACTCATGTCACTTCTTTTTTTTACTTTTGACTGGAGCCCGAAATTTGTTTCAGTAGAAACCTGTGTGACAGGTCACCAGGATCTCCCCACAGATAAAATATAACATAAATATAGAATCGATACGAACGGGAAAGCAGTTAAAATGTCGCCATTTTATGAGGAGATATCTATATTTGAGTGTATATGTATATATATATATATATATATATATATATATGTATATTCATATATCAAATTCACGTTATACTATTTCTGATAAGATATTATTTAAAAATAGACAAATAAAAAAAAAAGGTGTGTGGGTTAACATGTTCTCGTGTGAATGGACGTGAACACGTACGTGTGGTTGTGTGTGTGTGTGTGTGTGTGAGAGAGAGAGAGAGAGAGTGTGTGTGTGTGTGTGTGAGTAAGTGAGTTAACCCTGTGGAGATTGAATTTATTACTTGAGTATATAAAATTTTTTAAGAAGGTAAGTTGTGATCTTTTATTAACATATACCTATTTATGGTTTTTTTTTTATTTACTTAAGTGGGATAAGAAGGTTTTCAGTAGCTTGATAGTCAAGGGTTTTTAGGTATTTAGTCACAGTTGATTTGCAAGCGTATTTCGGAAGGTGGTAAATATTGAGGATTTTATTTAGTTTGTTATATAAATATGAGCCAAGAACGTAGAAATAATGATGCGAGGCCGCAGTTTTGAACGATTTGCTGGGGCATACGTTGCTCTTTCTCCGTTTATTTCTGAGCAACAAGGGATCATATTGTAATTGTGAATGTTTTTTTTTTTATTATAGACTTCAAACTAATAACAAATTTAATGGACGTTTATGCAACTAGCTGTTAGCGAATTGCTTGATTTAAAGCGTCTGTTGCGCATCCTTTTTACGGGTCTGTACCCAAATGTAAAACGGGAGCCCATGTTACTAAGACTTTGCTGTCTGTCTGTCTATCCGTCACCAGGGTGCATCGTGGAAGTTAGACAGTCGAAATCTTCACATATGATGTATTTATTTCTGTTGCCGCTTCAACAACATACGAACTAAAACTACAAACGTGATTTTTTTGTATGGAACCCTTCGTGCGTGCGTCCGACTCGCTCTTGGCCGATTTTTTATTATGCACTTAGCGCGTTAATTAATAACGCATTAATTAGCATGCTAATTTTTCTTAGCATTTAGTCTGCAGCGTGTTAATGTAACAAACGTTTTGAACAACACTGACGGCGTTTTCAAGAAAATAGATAGTTAAGAATGCGACGCCAATATGACAAAATTGGCGTCGCATTCTGAAAACTAATTTAAATTGTTATTAAATTCTTAGATTTTATATTTACGAGGAAAAATATCCGCCAACTATAATGACCTCTTTTTGTCGTCACTATGTATGGATAATATCCTAAAAATGGTTTTCGATAACAATACGAATCACAATCCGATCCGTGGTTCGGTTATCAAAAGATATATTTTTGAATATTCAATGAAAATAAAGACTCGGAATCACATTGAATAGGGAGATTATGAGAGGATAAAATTTTGAAGATACACTAAGCCTGCCGAATGTAAATTGTTCAAGCGTACTCAATATTTGGACGGTCCTGAATTAGGGTTGTACTCGGTAATCTTTTTCGGTACTCTTATTGGTCTAAGTATTCCAAATTGGAGTTTACGTTAGACTCGATGGCGTAGTGTTGATGTTTTCGGTCTGCGAATGAATATTTTAAGCATCGTTTTCATAGGAAGAGTGACAAAAAATTATTTTTCTTAACCTTTTTTTTCTGATTGAAATCATTACTCCCTGATGGCACGTTAAATCATTACCCCCAGATGCATCTGCTGTCCTTAACACTTACCAACTGCATTAGGCTCACGGTTGGTTATGGTCAGAGTTCCTTCTGGGAATTCTTCCTTCTAAAATCCTAGCAGCCTTTTGATAGGAAGATAATTATTGCAATTATTTTATTTTAAACAACTAGATGATTCAGTTCTGTAAATACTCGTACATTAAATCGAAATATCGATTAGAAGATTCAATGCAAACAAATCTTGTAAAATCTAATTAGGACAGACAGACAGACTCTCGGATCTAATTTAAGAAAAAATAGAAAAGCGATGAAGTAATTGATTTAAAGGTCTCATTATTTGTTTTCACGATGTCAATATTTTGTATACCCTATTCTATTGTATATATAAAATATTAATAACATTTAATGTCGAACACAACCCTGACACACGCAGAACTAACTGCGGTCTGACCCTATCGACAAACCACTCTGGTTTAAAGAGCGTGTTATACCAAATACTGGTACAATTGAGTTTGCTGGACTTGGCTGGACGCTGTATTTAAGGAGTTATTATACCAAAAAGGTCAAAGTTATACCGTCGTCAATACTCATTCTCGCAAATACTAATAAATGGTCAGTAATAATTCAACATATACAGTAAGGAAAACATTGCAATAAAAATAAGTAATGTCCTGTCATAGTAAAAATAAAGATAGAGTAAAGCGTGAGAGAAAATGTTCTTCAATCGACACAAAATATAATTTTTACTTTTTTCTATTCAGGTATCATGGATCCGGCATCGGGACATACACCTCCTAACTTCAGGCAGGATGACATATACCTCAGATCAGAGGTTCATAAGCGTCCACAATCCTCATACTGAGGATTGGATATTGAAAGTAAGTATATCTACTAATACATCAATATTTAATCCGCGTGTATTAAAGTATTATTGGAATTAAAAATAATTAAAATAATTATTATTATTTATCGTTAATTATTGGACATTCACATATGATAAAGTTAAATCTGCGTAATAATTACTTTTGCAGAGAGAGATTTGAAATTTAAATTATCTACAAGTAGTTTCCCAACAGTAGGTAATGTCAGACTAAAAATATTCTCTTAGCTGTCACTGAAAGGAAAACAGGCCTTTGATGACAAGTTTTGACATCATCGAATGTTGGAACACTTCTAGATTATACAACTTTCCGCCTTACAGTTTGTCTTCGCCTGGGGGCAATTTGTAATATCTTTGCCCTTGCGGTGAAACGGTGGACTCTTTAGCTCATCACGGCTTATCATGCAGCAGAAGAGATAAAAAATAAACATTTTGACAAATTTGATAATCAGAAGGCAAGTTTGTACCTCGCCCAAAGAATGACTGTGGCAATTCAAAGCGAAAAGGCTCGCAGTCTTCTGGGCACCTTACTTGTTGGCAATGATTTGGGGGATATTTTTTATTAGCTTTCCAATAGTCATAAAAATACTTAGAACTGAATTGGTAATATGATAAAACATTATTTCACGGATAGCTCGATTAATTATTGTTTAAATCAATAATTGACTACTTGACAGATATCACAATAAATTATAAAATGTGTTGAAAATGCTAACTTATAAATGTCAACAATAACTGTGAAGTATTTTTTATTCTAAAATTAATTATATTTAATTTTTTGCAAAATCAGATTGTAACGTGATCGGTCATAACGGAGAAATCACGGCTCAAAGTGTCACGTAGGTAATTGCTGTCCTGAGACAATTAAAAAAAAGTTTCTTTTAATTTAATAACACAACATAGCGGTAATAACACAACATGAAAGTATATGAATATTTGTCACAAAATGATCAAGTAGCAATTATGATATTTTCAGCAAACGCTCAATGAACTCTTTACTAGAACGTTATATAAGTCTTCGGAAAAATAGCCAATCATCTAAACGCGCTCGTAAATCTTTTGTCCACAGATAAGGTTTCCCCAGCGCCGGGATTCCGGCATCTACGAGTGCCAAGTAGGCACCACGCCGCCCATAGGACACCGAATGTATCTATCGGTCGTCGGTAAATCACTTTTGTTACATTCACTGATAGAGGATAAGCATAGGATAGAAGTTGAAGGTCTCAATTCAAATAGCTGTCTGCTGAACTATCTTTAATGCATATTAACTTCGTTATTATCAACACTATACAGAGACTTATATGTCCACTGCTATATTATAATATTTATCTGAATCATTGTAAAAGTGTTGTTCGAATTCAAGTCTCACATCTGAAGCTTTAGGCATTTTAAACGTCTCTAATTCTGAATTCAACTAGCTGCCAGCGCTCTATTCACATGTTCACTTATTGTAAGTGACGCCCAAACTCGCACGCTGCGATTTGCAAGCTAGTGCTATCGACGACGACGACTGACGATGCGATAGCGTCTCGTTCGCTGACGCCAGACCTACTCTGCTTGTCCACGAACGTAAATTTCGAATCGTTCTTGTAATTTTTATTAAAGCCATATCCAGGGAGATTATTTGTGTATCAGAGGCAATGCCAGTTATACCTCCATTACATCTTAACTTACAGAAATGTTTTTTTAGTCATATTAACGTTTTGAAAATAGACGAAGTTTTCAATAAAATAGAATAGGCCTTCTGGTGTGTAGCTTGCTACTGTGGCTGTTTGTTATTGATATTACTAATATATAGTACGGTCATAACGGTCAATAAATGACAAGTTAATCGCTGAGTTACAGCAGGGTTTTTTATATGTTCTTAACTTTTACTAAATTCGAAGTATAACTACGTCATCGTCAGCCTGCAACAGTCCACTGCTGGGTCCTCCTCCGATACGTTTCATTTTTTTATAGCGCAAAATAGGAAAAAAAAGTACGTGATAACCAGTTACCTAACTAACAAAGAGATCTAACTATTCTGTTTCTCCGTCAAGCAGAACCTCTGACCACGATTCTCGGAGGGCCGGAGCTGTTCATCAACACGGGTAGCACCATCAACCTCACCTGCGTCGTGCAGCATTCGCCAGAACCTCCTCCCACTATACGTTGGACTCATAACGATGAGGTAAGGCTGTGTCGTGTTCGGTGCTTCGATGTTGGTAGTAAATGAAACGGCTGACTAGGCTTGACGATCTACCATCAATATAGTAAAAACAAACAACTGTAACAACAAAAATGAAGAAGAATATAAAAATAGTTCCTTATGTATTACTAGCATTATGGTAATGTATAAATACTTTTAAAACAATTAAATACCCAGTTTCTGGGTTTTCATTAATATGTGGAACTTATTATTGTTTATAAACACATGTTTCTTAAATATATTTACTTTCAGCACATTTTATTTTAAATGTGTGTTAAAAATAATTTATAATCACAATAAAAACATGTTATGTCCTGTTAGAGTTTTAAAGAGCCGACATTTCCATTATCTTTGATCAATGAAATTAAATACATGGAATTAATAATAAGGGAATGAATTAATTTGAGAGAAAAGAAAATACGATAACAGAGATGAGAGAAAATACGATAACAAACGTCAAAACATAAACTACACAAGGGGAACCACCTCAACTATTACCTTTTCAAAATTGCTTTATTGAATCATTAATTATGTTAATTCCACTATAATCTACTATTCTAAGAAAGGATACACTTATTCAAAAAGCCACTTATTTCCTAATACAATGTTTCCTTAACTACATGCTGTTACAATATTGTATCATACAAAACAAATTGGTGTAGCAACATCCTATATCATATCGATCGGGCGTGTTATCGGCATCGTCAATATACATCTTAAGCATTTAATGTGTGTACGTAATAGTGGTATCATTTAAGCTTTGACATAAATGCTAGATTAAGATACTGTAGCGGAGAATATTAATGCTACAGAAGAGAAGTCACTTCCTCCCTGCCTCCGTAATCAAAGCGTTCCATTGTATTTACGTTCGTGAATAAACATCCGGAATTTTCATTGTGTGTCAGTCATATCTCCTTGTTGTATCATGTTCGCGAATCTCTATTTGGTCGCTTTCAGATTTGATTTGTGTTAGAGGTTTGCTTATATGATTTTAATTGTTAGGAGGAGGTTAAATAGATTGACTATTTGAGTCAGATTTCTATCGAAACATCTACAATGTATATGTATGAGTACAACAGAGATATGTACTTATGAATAACGTAGCGGAAATAATTTACTGATGTCGAGGCTACTTTAGCCAAAACGTTACTATCCCTTGTTCACATAGCGAGGCAAATGGTGGAGTAAATTTGCTGCCAATAACCTAAGGAGATTGAAATACTAAGCAAAGGCTTAAAAAAAATAGATTAGGTATCTATAAATTTATTTATCCTAGACTTTATTAGATTGTAGGGATCAATTAGATACTCGATCAAAGATAACGGATATACTGATACCCTGGTGGGCGATTGGGTTGCAGTTGAATTTTAGGTCCAATATAGATAAGCGAACTATATACTTTCGGGTTCAGATTGTTATGGAACTTTGATAATTTCCAATTTATATAAAACAGTTAATTAAGTTGTAATTGGGGATTGGTCAAAACAGTTTATTTCTAAAACATGTTAAAATTAAAACAACTTCTTTCAGTGCTCAAAATATGAGACGAGTTATTTATCCTCTTTTCAATTTGCCACCCCAAGATTCCCTGTGATTATTGAACCCAAAAATGTTCAAACACACAAGTGGTCTCCAGGGGTCGATTAAATAGGTAATCAAATTTAAAAACGCTCAGTTGGCCATTCGGCAACTATTGGCATGGTCTTGTTCATTTCTGGAATTCGATAAACTTTGGCAAACATTCAATGGTATTTTTCATTATCTTACAGTTATATATTCAGACAAGAGAATGTTAAAATATTCATTAATTATTTATATACATGTAGCATCCTACGATTAATACTTTGGATTTCAATCAGTAATAAAGAGTAAATAATTGTTTTCTTATTTATTTTATGTTATATTACATGAAACTAATGTTTAACAATTAATTTTTGATATACGTGAAGTTAGAGTAATATAGTTGGTTGTAGATGGACAGATTTGTGGCAGTTTTGTGCTCATGTATTTGTATGCGGATTATGCAAAGCACACATCTTGCAACTATTACGGGGTGTGGAATTTTGTAATCGACATTATTTTAGAGTTCTTGTGGTAAATTCCTGTTGTGGTGACATAGAATAAATCTATGAATAACGTTGTTATATTTTACAAATCTATTTCAGATTATTTCTAAAAATTTTCTATAGTTTAACAAGGTTGTCACTTAACAGAATGACTAATCGTACTACCTAATATTCTGATTTACTTTGAATTGAGGCTAAATAAAATGTTATAACGTCTTGAATGTTATTTTTCAGTGATAACTGAAACGTTATATAAAGGAATGAGCAAGGTAACATTGAACTGTTTTATGAGCACATTTTTGTAATGATAGGATGTTTTCCCTCAGTAATGTTGTTTTGATAGACGACGGACGGATCCCTCCCAATTTCCCATTCTACCGAAAAGGTACTACACTAGGCATTATACATCGAATACCTATATTTGCCATGTTAACTTATATAATTTATTTGTGACTAAATTAAGCTTATCAGCATTAACCTGTGTTACTAATTAAGACTTCTTCCTGGCCAAATTGCTGACAGTCCGGTTTAAAAGTGTATATATATCCTAATAATATAAGGAATTTGAGGCATAAGGAGCATTTCTCCTGTATCAACAAAGAAAGTTTGGGTGTCGTGATACCTTCATTGTTTCAGATTTCCGCTATAAAAAAATTAAGTATTGAGCAATGTTCTGAAGTTGTTTAATACGTATTTATTCCAAAATTTATCCACGTAGTCTACTATAGATTTATAGCAATTAATATTTTGATCTTAAGTAAACGGAGAAACTCAAGATAATTAAATTTTGGTCACTAATCTGACGATCAACAATCGCTAAAGTTACTTAACCACTGCAATCGTCGATTGAATACACTTACTACTATGGGGAGAAGCTACATGTTACAAATTTATGTAAGTTATTCTTACCAACGTTTTATCTTCCGAACTTTAATCAAACTTCTAAGTTTGATCAATGTGTTGAGAATCATCGAGCTTGAAGCTTGGATCCATTAATATAACACTTATGACTAATATAATGCACCAAGTCGCAATGAATAATCTTCACGCTCCAGTTACATGCTACACACTTGCTAATTTCGTCTTTGTCTTCTAGTAAGCATTCTGGCAAACCATGGCGTGCTAGTTACAAATTGCTCGTTCTGTTGTTAGAAATTTGGACGAAGCCGTGGTGAAGTTTCCACTCAGTTTTATTTACAAGAGACGAAGGAACCTCCCGGCCATGTTGGATTGATGCCAACACGGGTCGTAACGAAACTCTTCGCGGCATACATAAACGGAGTAGATATCTGTTTCAAGTAATTTTGTTTCTGAATGACTTAATTGATTAATTTCTTTTTTGGTGTTTATGATATTAAAAATATAGATCTTGTAGCTCCTACATAAAATAATTAATTTAATTCACATGTCTTTGCCAATCTCCGTAGTCCAATGGCTCGCACGCCGGTTTCAAAGTTACTGAGGTTCAGGAGTCCTAAATCGGGTCAATGTAGAAAGGAACTTTACTAAATTATCACGAGTCACGGTATTGTGATATCTTCGTTATTTCAGATATTTTTAATAAGATATTTTTAAGAAGAACTGAGCAAATAAGGTGACAAACTCGCCTTTTTCATTAAGTTTCAGATACTTTTACTTACTAGTTTTTCTATCTTATTTTAATACGATGACTATAATTAGTAGGTACTTTGTTAAAAAAATGGGCACCTAAAACGAATTTTGATCAGATAAAGATTTAAAACAATAAACACAATTTTAGAACAGTACTTACACAACAATGCATCAACCACACTGGTTTTGAGAACTAGATAACAATAAATAAACAGTAGATGGGATAACATGTCATTGTACTTGGAAAATAATAATATAATATTATATATTAGGACTAAGCATTGTACCTGAACGTAAATATAGACTAGACAGTTTCCATGTAATATAATATTATTATCAGAATACAAAGAAAGCCACAAATTGATATTTATTTTACTTTGATCATATTATGTATATGTCAATCAAAGATAATTTTGTAACATACAAAGCTTATTCTGTACTAATAGTGCTAATAGGTTATTTAACTATGACTACAGCTATCCCCATCATGAGTATTTATACTGGGTCGTAAAAGAGGATAAATGAATCAATGAAAGAGGATAAATATGATTTATTGAACACATCTATAGTATTGTGAGGATAGTGTAAATAAGCTCAAAATATTTCTATGTAATGTAACGTTTTTACTTATACGTTACATGTACCTTTATTTGTAACTTACTTCAGAATCTCAAATGAGGCTAAATTTGATGGATATGCATGATTTGTCATTGAAATTCTTATTTTTCTTCGAAAGTTTATAGCTAAAGAAAATACTATGAAGCAATGCTTATACGACATCTATATCATCAAAAATACAATTCATCTCTTATTTAGAATTTTGCTAACGAACATCAAACAAAAACAAAAACGTTAGTTGTTTTTGATTTGAATGTAAACGTGAATACTCATAATAATACCAGAATTAAACTATAGATCCTTTTAGGCACAGCAACACTTTAGAGGGAGGAGGACTTCATTAAAATAAGTGGTCTGGTAATTTAATAATCATAATTCTACAACATCGAAGACAAAATAAAATATAATAAAATGACTGTTGATCCTTCTATTCTGCTTTTGAATTTATGGTACGTATAATGTGTGTATAGATTTTAAAACTATTTCAATGGAGCAGTTATTCAGTAGGACTTAATAATATTCCAAAGTACTGGGCTTGTTTTTTTCTTTTAAATTTTTTGTGAAAGTAATTATTTTTTTCCTTTCTTTCTTTTGTTTTCACGTAGTAGGGTTTTTTTGTTGTTTATAATATAATTTTTATTTTACACTTTTTAGTTAGTTCTCATTGACTTCGTTATTAGATTTATA